CTTATGGGTGAGGGCAAGATCAAGAGATTTCTCTCTGTGCAGCTGTGGCAGAGTAGAGGGAAATTTCACAGAAAATGAGTAAGATGATGAACTGGGAGGTTAGGGTGTTTGATAGAGTATATCAAATTTTGCAGTTCCTTGGTATCAGGGCAACAGAGATAGATTGTGAGCCTGAACTTATCTGAGGAAAGAAGGAGAGAGTCTGGAAGTTGGTAGATAATAGCTACCAGTCTTAATTGGATGATAAATATGGATTGTATGAACCTCAAAGGAGAAGAGGTTACTGAATGTAGAGAGCCTGAAAGTGGAAACAGAACAAAGAGTATCCCAATTCCCCCATCACCACAATCAGTGAGTAGGAGGGCGGGGACAATGCTATGAGTGAAAGTGGATTCAGTGCTGAAAAAGGTAGCCAGTAAATCTGTGTTATCAGGAGGTATCCTGGTCTCAGGGAGTATAAGAAGATGGAGGGAATTTGAAAGGAAAAGGTTTAAGGCGAAAGTAAGTTTGTTACCTATGGAACAGGTATTTCAGAAAGCACAATGGAAAGGATGGGTATCTCTAGAGTGGGACATTGGGAAGATTAGGTTGAAGGGAATGGGGAACAAGGGAGCTGTTGAGGGGAAAAAGAGAATGAGGTTTGAAGAGTTCAGAATCACTGGGATGTGAAGGACATTATGAGGTATAACATGGAAATACCCAAGGATTTATTAATAGGCTCTGAGGCCAATCATACTTATCAGCATATAGAAATTTCAATAACTAGCTTATTATATGCTTTGAGCATAAGCTCATGGTATCTAAATGACCTCTGAGCGCCAAATGGAGTGTTAGGATTTCTTCTATGGGGCTCTCATTACATCAGCAAGAAGGAGACAATTGGTATTTTACAGTGGTCAAAAGGAAAGGTAAAGGTTTACATTTCAGAGGTAAACTTGTAAATTTATAGCAGGCAGAGAGGAAAGAGGTTTACATATCAAAGATATCAGAAAGGACAGATCTTTATCAGGTAAAATAATAACCTGATCAGCAAATACTAAAGGATTGCTCGGGAATTGGCAAACTAATCAAGATATGCTTATCATCAGTAAATAGAATTAATAAAGCTGAGTCAGACAATCCTTTATCTTTGACTATTTAATCACCTGAGTTAAACTTTTGAAGGTCTCAGCTAAATTCCCCAAAGCATCAACTAAGTATATGGCCTGCTTTTAGCAAAATGGCAGCTACACTAAAATTTCCTTAATCTTTTAGTTCAGGTAGGTAAGCATTGTCCCTAGGGGTTCGGTCTAAGGGTAGAATCATCCTAGGGCTTAGGCAGATGTGTGTGTGTGTGTGTGTGTGTGTGTGTGTGTGTGTGTGTGTGTGTGAGAGAGAGAGAGAGAGAGAGAGAGAGAGAGAGAGAGAGAGAGAGAGAGAGAGAAAGAAAGAGAAGAGTGAGTGTGAGTGTGTATGTGAGTATGGTGTGTGTGTATGTGGTGGTGGCGGTGATTCTCCTTCCCAGGGAATCAAGACAACTAGTGTGGAAGGAATGTTCCCTATGTGTATTTGATTGCCCACTTTTCCTGTTGATGCTATGTTTATTTGTGAGAGAACAAGCCCAAGGCTTAAAGGGAAAATTTTTTTGCTACTTTTCTCATCATACCATTTCAATAAATGCTTTTGTCTTAGGCAAATGGTATCCTCAGGATGACTAGTGAAAAGTACATACATACCTTGGTGGGGGCTTTGACTTACATTTTAAGAACATAGACCTACAGAATATCTTGACTCTGGGGTAGTCATCCTTGGGGTACCTAAAACTTGTAAGTGAGAGTTGGGGTGTAGCCCAAAGAACTACATGTGAAATATTGTACACTAATGTTTTTCTATGTTAAACTCTAGATTGAGCTAAGAGAAACTCAAGAAAGCACAGCAACAGGTTTTCTAGATTTCCGGATTAGGTCTTGCCAACATCTGGGTGAAGACTGAAGGAAGTTTAGGATAGTTTGAGTGAGTTCCAAGCGCCATCTAGTAGTTTATGGTGAGACTGCACTGTAGCTAATCTAGACCCTGGGAAGCTCAAGGGTGGTCATTGACTTGTCTTTTTAAAACTTCTTTCAGGGCTATGTAAAGTGCAGGTGCTCAGATACAGAGGAAAACTATCAGCACTAACACCAAAATACAACCTTTATATTTATTAATTGCATAATACTATAATAGGCACTGGAGATACAAAGAAAAAGATGAATCAGTTTCTGCCCTCAAAGAGTTTACATTCTTTGGGTAGCGGAGGGGAACCTGTACATGCTGCAACACACGAAGATGAGAATAATTCTAGGTAATTAGAAGAGAAAGGGGGCACTTAGGTTTTTTTTTCTTTTTAAGTGTCTATTTCCTTTTTTAAAAAAAACTTTTAGTCCATGCTCCATGAAGAATTGCCAAAGTGATATTCATGAAGTGTAGGTCTTACCATGTCACTCCCCTGCTCCGTAAACTCCAGTGGCTCTCTATTACCTCTGGGTAGTATGGGTAAATGTCCCAGTAGACATTTAAGGTCCTTTACGACCTGGCTCCAACCTACCTTTTCGGGTTTATTAATCATTACCTCTTTCCAGGCACTGTACCTCTAGTCAAATTGGCCCACCTGCATCCAGTCACATATAGCACGCCATCTGTCCATGCTGTGCCTTTGCAAGAGTTGTCCCCCATGCCTGGAATGGACTCTCCCCACCTCGATTTTTAAGAATCACTAGCATTCTTGAAAGCTCAGTTCAAGTGCTACTTGCTACTTGAAGACTTTCCCCAACTGCTAATTCCTCATGCTATTTCCAACTGCTTTTTCCCTTTCTCCATTTTGATTTAACCTAATCTACACTATCAAAGCCTCAGGAAATGCTACCCAATTATTCTGCTCTCCTTCAGTAACCAAAGCAACTTTCTTTGTCAGCAAGAATTGTCCTTGCTTTTATATTTGTATCGTCCCTCCTGACTCCTCCTCCTCAGCACAGTGCTTTTAAGCACTTAATGAATGTTTTTCATTCAATCTTTGTAAAATGGGGATAAAAATATCACCCACTTCACTAAAGTGTTGTGAAGATCCAATGGAATAATACACGCAAAGAAGTTTGCAAATCTTAGAGCTCTATATAGATGCTAGCAATTCCTGTTATATATGCGTACACATATATCAACACCTATAATTATGAATAGCTAATATTTATATGGAGCTTTATGATGATGATGATTATTATCTCCATGTTACAGATGACGTTGAATGAATGAAAAACATTTTTTTAAGTGCTCACTATATGTCAAGAGCTTTCTGGGGATACAAATACAAAAGCTGAGACAGTCCTTGCCCTCAAGGAGCTTACATTCTAATGGAGGAAACACTACATACGGGGGGGGGGAGGGAAGAGGGGGGACAGGTGTTTTAGTATTTTGGTTAGGGATGGTGAGTGGAACCAAACGACAGCCGGTTGTCATTGGCTACCTTGCTGTCCCTGGAACAAAAAACTTCATTTCCCTACTCTGGACGTTTTCATTGGCTGAACTCGACGTCTGGAATGCTTTCCCTCCTGTCTCCACCTTCCTTCAAGATCCAGCCAAAACCCTACCTTTTCTAAACCCTTTTGTTTTCCTTCGGTGGATTAATTCCAACATATCCTTTCTACGTCTAGCGTGTACATAGTTGTTTGCATGTCTCCTCTATTAGACTGTGAGCTCCTTGAAAGCAGGGACAATTTTTTGCCTTTACATCCTCAGCGCTTAGCAAACGGTGTCCGGCACATAGCAAGAGCTTAATAAATGTTTAACTGACACCCATTTGTCATCAGCCACCTTACTATTTCTGGAACAAGAAACTCCAAGCGCTTAATAAATGTTTATTAATTGAATGGTGAGTGGAACAACAGGGCAGCCCAATGACACCGGCCACCTCACAGTTCCTCAAACAAGAAAGAAACTATCCAGCTTAATGAGTGCATATCATCGATGCATGCATGCATGCACACACACACGTATGTACATATACGTTTCCAAAGTCCACAAGGTGGCAACGCATCCCCCAGACTATCCAAAGCTTGAGACTGAGCGCATTCCCGGGCTTGGGGCGGTGTTAATAGGCACATGGGTCATCCCGGATCGAGCGAGTCCGAACCCCGGCGGAGGCCGCCGCAGCCTCAGGGAGAACTGACTTCGCTGCCCGAGGTACCAGCCTTTTGCAAGACCTGGCCCGGGTTCAGCCTCAGGGGCAGCGGCGGCGACTGCGATTGGAGGGGATTAAAAAAAAAAGCCAGCTCCTTCACAGTCAGGATGGATCAATTTATGACTGGCTGCTCTCCTCGGGTCTTGCCCCGGCATCCAATCCTGCAGCCGTTTATTGATAATCTCCCTGTCCAGATAACAGCCCAATGGGGGCATTCTAACTTGGATCGTGATTGGTCGGAGGGAATTCCTCTTCCAGCAGTAGTAAACACACCGCGACTCTCGGGACCTAGGATTGGTTAGCACGGAGGCTCTCCGAGTAAATCACACCAGGTCGGGTCCCTAGCCTCGCCCCGCCCCGGCCCCACCCTCTCCCTCCGGTGATTGGTTGCTGCATGACCGGTGGGGGCGGGGGGAGAGACAGCCGAATGTCACTTCCTGTGGCCGCCGCCGCCTCAGTTTCACGACGCCGCAGAGAGAAGGGACTGGAGAGTGCCGGGGCGGGCGGGGGGGAGGGTAGTCCTGGGGAGGGGGGGTGGGTGGGTGGAGAAGACGAACCCACCCCTGAGGCAGCGGCCGGCCGAGTGACCGCCAGCCCCCCCTTCTTCCTTTACGGCCATACCGAGTCGGAGCTGAGTCGCCGCCGACGAGCGGAGCAGAAGGGGCGGGGCTCGGCTCAGGCAAGGCGACCCCCAGCCGCGGGAGGGGCGGGGAGGGTACGAGGGAGGTGGGGGAGGAGGAGAAAGGAGAGGAGGGAGGCCTCGTGGGGGGGGCGGGGGGAGGCCGGGAGCGCGCTCGAGGCTGCTTCACGCGCGGGCGGGCTCCGGGTGTGCGCGGCAGTTAGGCTGGAGGGACGGGGGGCGGCGTTCGCCGGGGGAGCGCACAAGTGCAAGGAGGGAGGCGCGCGGGCTGGCGGACGGACGGCCTGGCTGTCAGTCGGGCATTGTTCTGGCGTGAGTGTGGTTGTCAGCCTTCCATCCTGAGGGCTTCTCAGGTCCGGCGGGTTCCGCGACTGTGGGGAGGGAGGCAGGCGGGAGGGAGCGACGGACGGTACTTTTGCGCAAGCGCGATGGGAAACAGGCAGCTCTGCTCCAGACACTGGACGGTGGAGGGGGACGAGGAAAGCGAACCCCAAGACCAATATTCAGTGTATTTCTTCTCTTGGGGGGTAGAGGGCCTTCTCCCCACCAAGTGCTGCGGCTTTTAGGCTTCTTTGAGTGAGATTTGGTTAAAACAGAAGGTGATGTGATGTAAGAGAGAGCCTGGTATAGACTATGGACTGGTGGTGAGTAAAGGGTCCGTCTTGTTGGCTGGGTGTGGGTATGGCAGGTTGGCCCCTCATCCTTTCCATCTAGTCTTGTGTTTATCATTTTTTTTTTTCTGGTGAGCAACTGTAACACGTAGGGAATACAGGTTAGAACTGATCTTACTCCTTGCATTGTGAGGGTAAGTTCCATTTTACTCCAAAAGGTGGATGACAAATATTCGGGAAAAGAAAATTTTGAGATTGAATTAAGGCTATTGAATGGCAAGGCCAGCTTGTGGAAATTTTTTTTTAAAGATATATCTTGAATGATAATTTTTAAAAATTCATCAGGATAATTCTTTCATTTGGTACTATTTCTACATCCTAAGTAGAGTCCATTATTGAGCACAGTCGGACTTTTATTTGAATAAAATATTTCTGTGCTGCAGCAGCCTTGGGAAAATGAACAATCTTTGTACTGTTTGTTATTTTGAATGGGATTTCCTGACTTGTTTATGAGGAGGAGCTAATTGTCATTTCCCTAAGCCTTGAGATCCCTGAGGGTGGGAGTGGTTAGTGGTGTTGACTATGGACTGATGGGTAGCCTGTAGGGAAAGTGGAGCAGGGAAACTGTGTTGACTGAGAAGTCCCTGAGTGGAGTGGGGGAGGAGCTGCTACTGCCAGCCCGTCTTCTCAGTGAGTCTCAGCAAAACTTAAAGAAGGGGAAGAACCGTGGTAGTGTCCATTTTGGAAATCTGCCAGGCAAGTCTTAGAGTCCTTTGGAAGGAGAGCTCTGGTAGGTCCCTAACTATTCCTTGGAAGCTCCTGGTGGTAGGGGTTTGGACTGAATATGTGCTGATTCTTAAGATAGTTGTGGGGCTTGTTTTTTGAATGTAGCTGTAATATCAGTATGCTTTCTTGTAAGAGGCAGCATGCTGCAGTGGGTAGAGAGCTGGCTTTGGAGCCAGAAACACCTGGTTTCAAGTCCCACCTCTGAACACATAATGTCTGAATGATTGTGGGCAAGTCTCTTAATGTCTCAGTGCTTTAAGGAAGGACTTAAAACTAGAGAACCTGCAGTGGTAGAGAATGAAATGAAATTTCCAGATCCCTATTATGTTTTTTTCAAATTTTAATTTTTTCAATTGACAAGCATTTATTTCTCTCCTCGTCTTCCTCCCATTGGGGAAAAAAAAAGAAAAGAAAAAGAACATCTTGATGATAAATATACATAGTCCAGCAAAACAAATTCTGGCATTGACCTTATCCAAAAATGAATTTCTCATTCTGCATATAAAATCCATCATCTCTCTGAAGAAGTAGGTAGCATTGTTCCTTAAAAGGAACTCTGGAATCATGGTTGGTAATTTCATAGATCAGAGTTCTTAAGTCTTTCGGAATTGTTTGTTTTTACGATGTTTTTGTTGTATAAAATTATTCACCTTCTTCTGCTCACTTCACTATCAGTTCATACAAGTCTTTCCAGGTTTCTTTGAAACTATCAATTTCATTACATTCATATGCCATAATTTGTTCAGCTATTTCCCATTTGATGGACACTCCCCTAATTTCCCGTTCTTTGCCACTTCAAAAAGTGCTGCTATGTTTTTAGACATATAGATATTTTTCCTTTTTTTCTTTTTCCTTTTTCATTGATTTCTTTGGGGATATATGCCCAATAGTTATCCCTATTCTTATGATATACCTTTTTCTCTTGGGAGCTGAATGGTTGCCTCAAAAGTCCATTTATTTGAATAGTCTACTAGGTTCAGTTATACATTATTCCTTGTCACTAACTTTATAATTTAGCCAAACTGCCCAATCTGCTGTTCTCCTAATAGGAAATTCTGTCTCTCCCCAGATTGCCGTTACAAAGGCTGTCTGATCCTCACATGAAATATTCTTCCTTCTCACCTTTGTCTCTTGGAATCGAGGGCTCCTTTCAAAGTTGAGCTCCAATGCCACCTCCTCCACAAGGTCTTGTTGCTCCAGTTGTTGGTTCCCTCCTCCTCCCCCTCATCATTTTCTGTTTCTTATACTGATGGGTTTGCCAACCTCTTATATTTCCCTGTAGAATATAAGATCTGTTATGTTGATGTGTATTTGTTAGTTGATTTATTTGGTTTGGGTTAATTGTGTTAAAATCTGAAGTCTAAAGAATTGCAATTCAAGAAAATATATATTTTGAGGTCAGTTCTTTCAAAGAGAAATGTTATAGAATGTCATTAGCATGTAGAACAATAATAGTAACTTACTGTTGTATAACTATAGTTTTCAAGTCACTTTTCTTGTAAGTACTTGAAATACTTGTTTAGTAAATTTAAGTCTCTTAACCCCAAGGTAGATAATAAAACTGCTATCCTATTTTAAAAGTGAAGAAACAAGGTGAAGTGACTTGCACTGTTTAATAAAGGTTTGAAATACTTCATGCTTACTGAACTATATGTAAATAGAGTCTAATATTCAACATACTTGCCATAATGTAGTTGCAGATGTCCTCAGACTTGGTAAGATACGTAAATGCCTCACATTCAGTAAGCTATGACAAAGCTTTCTAAACTGTTTGGGAATACGTCTTGACTTTATGTTAGCCGTCCAATTTACTAAAAATTGCATAGTAATAATACTTTTCTTTTTTTATCTAAATGATTCTACATCTTAAAAATCACATGTATTGGTCAGGTTTGGAATAACTAATTTGTGTTAGTGTAGCAGGTGGGATGAAATGTAACACTACACTGCACCTTTTGTTTAAGTATAAATTGAACTTCAAATGTGTTGAATGACCAGCTGTCTCTGCAAAATGAACTATTGCCCTTTAACAGTTGTTTTCATTACTGAATTATGTCTCTTGGGCCTGAGACCCAACTTTTATTTGATTAGGACAACCTTCATCTGGTTACTAATAGCCATTATAATTTCTCTTTGAATATTCAAACAAATTAAGAATAGTCACACAAATTAGGTATAATAGTAATAGCTTACATTTATAGTTTACTGAGTGCCTTCACTTATATTTTCTCATAGCACTTATGTTTTCTGATTTGATCTTAAAACTGTCAAATCAGCAAACATTTATTAAGCCCCTGTTATATGTCAGACATATTACCCTAGGCACTGGGGATAGAAAGACAAAAAGTAAAACAGTCCTTTCCCTCATGTAACTTACTTTCTATTGGAGAGGTAACATGTACATATATAAGTATAAAGAGAATCAAGATGAGACTGTTGATGGTTTAGCCCCAGGGGAAGGCACTAACAGCTTGCAGAATTAAGAAAAGCCTCAGTGTAGAAGGTAGCATTTGGGCTGAACTTTAAAGGAAAGTGCAAGTTCTGAGAGGTGGAGATGAAGAATGGTATATTCCAGGCATGGGAGAGGGCATGTGCAAAGGCAAGAAGATGGGACATGGCACATTGGGTGTGAGGAACAGAAAGTAAGCTAGTTTGGCTGGAGTTCATGAAGTAGAATGAGGTGTATATGTATATATATACATATATACATATATATACATATATGTCATAAGATAGGTTGGAGCCAGGTTGTGAATATTCAAATGCCAAAGAGAGCAGTTTGTATTTGACCCTAAAGGTAACAGTAAGCCAATAACAATAATGATAATGATGATGGTAATGATAATAAGCATTTATATAGCAGCCACTATGTGCCAGGCACTGTGCTATGCTCTTTTCATCTCATTTGATCCTCACAACGTGCAAGCAAGGTAGGTGCTATTAGTATCCCCATTTTACAGTTGAGGAAACTGAGGCAATCAGAGGTTAAGTGACTTGTCCAGGGTCACACAGCTACTAAGTGTCTGAGGTCAAATTTGAACTGTATTCCTGACACCATGCCCAGTGTTCTATCCACTGTGTCACCCAGCTGTCTATCGAATGTTTGAATAGGGAAACTGTTATGATTATACCTGTGCTTTAGGAAAATTACTTTAGTAGTTGTGTTGAAGATAAATTGAAAAGAGGAGAGACTTGAAGCAAGGAGACCAAGTGGCCTATTGCAGTAGTCAAGGTGTGTACTGTTTTATGGGGTGTGGAGTTCTCTGGGTGTGTAACAATGGAGCATATGCTCTGGCAGGTTCTCTCAAACCAGAAAGGCTTCAAATATGTGTTTCTTGTGATTTATGTATGTAGTCTGAGAACCAGCCTACCTCGTTTAGAGAAGCTCATCACCAGGTTGACTAACGAATTCCAGCCACAGCACCTCTCAAAGATTGTCTGCTGAGCTAAGTAAGATATACATGTCTGTTAAATAAGAAATATATGTTGTTGAAGGGAGTGTCCACGCTGATAAATTTGCAGACTCGTAAAATGCTGGAGTAAGATAAAGTGAGAAAGATAGGTCCTGGGCCTTCTCTTCTTTCTCTATAACACGTATCTTGGTAACTTCATTAATTCCCATGGGTTCAATTCCATTTTTATTTAGATATTTAGGGCTTATTATGATTTTTAAATGTCTCCCCTATTAGACTGTGATCTCTTTGAGATCAGAAACTCTCTTTTACCTTTCCTTGTATGCTCAGTACTTAGCATATACCTGGCACATAGTAGCTGCCTAATAAATGTTTGCTGACTGAATTATTTCTCTCTTGAACGCTAGTCCTGCTGAGCTAACACCTACCGTTTACTGGGTATTTCTCCGTGGCTGAACCTTCGGCATCTCAAACGAAACATGTCCAGAGTAGAATTTCTCCC